TACTCAGGTCCCCCTCAGCACTTCACCACCTGAGCCATCTCCCCAGAATCCAAAAGACACCATTCTTTTATTTTCTGAAAAAAAAATATATTTTCTTATTATGTGTGTCAAGGGGTTGTCAGCATGTCAGCATGCCACAGAACTTGTGTGGAGGGCAAATTCCAAGAGGTGGTCTTCTCTTTCCACCTTGTGGCCTGGTAACCACACTCAGGCCTGGCAACAGACACCTTTATGTGTCACTCTTGGTGAAGTTCCATTAGACAGGCAGGAAACACCTATAAGAAATACTGAATGCTAGAGTATTTTACCTAAGTAAAAGTGTCAACTGTTTAAAAATGGACCAGGGTCAGTGAGCTGGTTCAGCAGGCAAAGGCACTTGTTTCCAAGCCTATGACCTGAGTTTGATCTCCAGGTCCCATATGGTGAGGGGAGAGAACTGGCTCCCTCAAATTGTCCTCTGATGGCCACACTTCATGCACCCCAAAATATGAATGAAATTTAATAGTAATAAAAGCATTTAGGACAATGTCCAGTACAACTAAGGGTGCAGTTAATGTTAGGTTTTTAAAAAACAAAAACAGAACTCATTCTTAATGGTCTCACACCCACATGTATTTGGGCAGCACAACTGGACCTGGTAGGTTATAAAAAAAATAGTGAGAGATGGGAATTGAGAGGAGCTGGGGCCGTAGGGATGGGTCAAGTGTTAGAAGTTTCCAGGTGAGTATGATCGGAACACAATCTGCACACATACGAAATCCTCAAAGAATAAAAAAAAACATAAAAATTACTCTTAGGACAATAAATAAAACAGTAACTTTGGGCCATCAAAACTATATTCTGGTACTTTATTATTTTTATTATAGCATGGGATAGTTTTTATAGACTATCAAAAATTTCATGAACTGAATAAAATCTATACACAAAATGTTTCTGAATAATACTGTAAAATATTGACCCCCACAACAAATAACAGCTTACTTAAATCTTGTAAAATTATTACTACAATCTACTAGCAGAAAACAAATTAGATGCCAGCTGCCAGCTGTTTTTAGCAACATACAGCACCTGATATATTAGTAAAATTGTCTGCATTTACTTCCTAATTCTACCAAACATATCCTTTCAAAACATGCACTTTTATGTTAAGAAAAGGTCGCCCCTTGTGCCTACCTAACCTGCTTACTAAATGACAACTTCATATAAAGCACTGACTTGTTACAACTTAAAGAAACTAAGTTGTCTGGCAGCAAATCTACCAGACTTCAAATCCTCACTGCTTTGTGTAACATTTTTGTTGTTTCTCTGTGGCTTTGGAGGCTGTCCTGGAACTAGCTCCTGTAGACCAGGCTGGTCTCGAACTCACAGAGTTCTGCCTGCCTCTGTCTCCCAAGTGCTGGGATTAAAGGCATGTGCCACCACCACCCAGGTTTGTGTAACATATTTTAAAAGGTTTACTCTACATGCTTTGTCTGCATGTACCCAGTACCTTCAGAGGTCAGAAAAGCACACTGGGTCCCCTGGAACTGGAGTTATAGTTATGAACTAATATGTGGGTCCTGAGGCTCAAAACCACGTCCTCTGCAAAAACAGCAGGTGCTCTTAACCTTGGAGCCATGTCTCCAGCTCCTTGTACACCCTTTTATCAGTTTCTTTATAACCTGTTTATCTTCCTCTTTATAACCTCTTTATCAGTCTATATTGTTTCTTGATGGTTTTCATGTCTTCAAAATTCATTAGCACATTTTATTTACAAGTCACTTTTTCTGACAACATTAATCTGATTTGGTTGGCTTACTATGATGTTTATTTTACTATATGATGGATATTTGCCATATACAAAGTCAGGGGTATGCAGTATAATAAAATAATCTAAAGTGCTAATTGTATAAAAATTCCTTATATATACAAAAGGTATTTTGAAAGAAACAGGTTGGACTATTCTACTTCTTCCCGAATATACTGGGAGTAGGCAGTTTCCCTAACTAAGGAATAGCAGGTCCAATGAATATGCACAAAAGTCTTGGTAGACCCTTGGGGCTTGCACTCCCAAACCTGAGAATATATAATTCTAAGTAACTTCTAACAGTCATATAACCTACACCCATTGTTTTCAAAAACAATAAAAGACCAAGAGGCTAATCATCATTAACTGATGTCTTCTGAAAAGTCAGTTTTGAAGACAGATCACAATGTAATCTTTGACATGAGATTTAAGACGTTGAATAAAAATGCCCAAAAAGTTATTTCCATTACTCCTCCTCCTCTTTACGTAAGGGCTCTATTCACACTTATATTGATACAAGTTTTTAAAACTAGACACAGAATACCAGGTGCTCTTCCATGAATGTAGCTCTGTGACAGAATGCTTGACTAATGCCACGTTAGTATAATGCCTTGAACAAGTTTACATTTCTTTAAAATCAAATATTGAAAATACTTCTACAGCTTTCAAGACAGAAGTATGCAATGAAATACAAGGATGAGATCTATTGATCCAGTGGGAATGGCCCCTGCTCTTCAGCCTAGCCACCACTCTCAATCACAGGAGCTGAACACTGTAGTGAAAACGATAGTAAAGTTGCTACCTTGGGACCTTCCTAAATGGAGGGAATGGTCAATTTTTATGTTTCACTGCTTTTATCCTTTGTATGCCAGTATATGTAAAACAGTTTTCCTTCATTTGACTAATACAACCCTACATTTTCATCAAACTTTTAGGTCCAATAGGGCATTTTTACTGGTTTTACTGTTATAAAATCTTGATGGGGTAGTTGAAATAACTATGTAATTTAAGACAGAAAAAGATATTCTATAAAAATCTTTATTCATCTCTTGGGTTGTTTTTAAAAATTGTGTGTACATCTGTGCATGTGAATACAGTTGCCCAGGAAGGCCAGAAGAGGATGTCAGATTCCCTCGAGCTGGAGTTACAGAAGGCTGTAGGCCACCCATCATGATTGCGGATAATTGGACTTGGGTTCTCTGCAATGACAGTATGTATGGAGTCATTTCTCCAGCCCCTCTCTATGCATTTTCTATATGGATAATGGAATTTCTATAGCTTTTAGAGTCCATCAGACATAAAGAATGGTGGTGCCTATTTTAACATGTGAATATTTATGCTAAGGTGAATATCCTACCTACTGACATCAAATCTGGGAAACTTAATGTGCTTTAATTGTGCAAGGGAGCCAGGGTTGGTGGTTTACACCTTTAATCCCATTACTCAAAAGAAAGAGGCAGGTGGGTCTCAAGTGCTCAAGGCCAGCATAATCTATACACCAAGTTCCAGGCCAGCCAGGACTATTAGTGAGATCCTGCCTCAAAAACCAAAAATGTGCAATGGAGTAAGTTTCCTTCTAAAACTTTTCAAAGAGTATTCATGTAAACCAAAATGGTTGAAGAATTATTGCTCCAAATCAAAGGAAAGCAATGAATGACCCTTTCAAGGTCAAAGATACTTGAAGAGTGTTTGCAATTAGCAATGCAGAGACAGACTAGGAACGGCTATAGCATCTGTTGGCCTTTTCTGGCACCTAGAGGGAGAGCTGGGTATTGACAGGGATTAACTATGTCTGACTCATAGGAATAAGAAAATGGAAAGCTCCGATGGTAACTCTATCCAGGTAGCCAGTCTTTCTTCAGAAGTCAGGATTTAAGCCGCCACCTTCTCCAGTTCAGGAAGAGGTACAGACCTTAAGGAATATATTTCACCACACCTATTTTCAATTATACGTTGTATGTTACAGAGTCTGAGGATACAATAGGTAAGAACCTATGAAGACATGACTATCAACTTCCATGGCACCAATCAAGGGCTCAGAGAGCACAGAAAACACATCAGAAGACATTTACCAAGTCAGGGTAGGCTGGAATCAAAGTCAGTTCTTAAAAACCAGAAGCAGGAGTCCAAGTTTGATGGACTACTTTCCGGGGACAAAAGTAGGAGTGTCATGTGACATACTTAAGGCAGGCATAGTGATTAGCCTGGGGCAGATGGCTGCCATCAAACTAGAAAATGTAAGAAACCCAGACTGGAAGGTCTAAATGCCAGACTTGACTTTTATCTAGTGAGAAATGTGGGCTTCTGTGGTAGAAGTGCAAAGCAATACTTGAGAAAGATTTATGAGACGAAATAAGGACAGACAGTATCTCCTAGGGCTTCAGCTCGACAGAGCTGAGGTACTTGAAGTCAAGTCTCAATGGGGAAAATGCCTGGATCAGACAGGCCTGGGGCTTTCAAGAAGCTTTTCCTTGGTTGGTAACTGCCAAGGAGGGTGCAGTCCACTGTGGGTGGTGCTGTGGCTCTTCCTTGATTACTAATTGACATTAGGATGGTGTAGCCCACTGTGGGTGGTGCCACCTAATGCTTTTCCTTGGTTTGGAATTGGCATTAGGAAGGTGCAGCCTAATGTGGGTTAGTAACCGCTCTGGTGCTGCTTGTTGTTCTGACCATTCATGATGCCTCCTTCCCTAGAAATCTTACTACTCACCTTGCCCTTCAAATCAGTCTTCACATTAATATTTTGTAAGGTAACATTCAGAAAGGAGGACTAAATACTGTTTCACCTTTCAAGAAATTACCATTTAAATAAGTGACAACAAAGCCACAGGGTATTACTTTACTAAGTACCATGTCAGCATGTTAGTTACTCCCATGGTCTTTCATGCTATCTTTGAGCTGAGGAAATCTATCCCTACAGCAGGACCAGCAGGTCTTTAAAGGGGGGGAAAAATCAGAAACATTTCTTTGGGACTGGAGTAGCATGGATTCAGGTTCCCAGCACACACATCAGGTGGCTCATATCCACCAGTAACTCCAGTTCCAAGGCAGCATCTGATGCCCTCAGGCCCCCACAGGAATCTATGGGCTCATGGTGCACTCATATAGGCACAGGCATAGGCACATATAAAAACAAATGTTTAAAATGACTGTAACACTTCTTCATTCTTTTGTGTGATCCAGTCAAAGGAGGGAAAAGTGGAAAGAAAGTAAATATTTTGAGTCAATGTCAGTATTTAATACAAACATGAAAGACAAAAATCAGACAAAATATAGCTGAGTATATATACTGGTTGGTGTGGATTTGGAAATGACACAGAAAAACAAAACAAAACATTTCAATGTATTCAAGCAAGTAACAGGAAATTAATATGGCTACTGATGACTAAGGAGAAAGCAAAGGTAACTATTAGTAAATATTACTATCAGCATAGCACATTATAGCAGTAACAAGAATCAAACAGTACAAATATCTTTACTTACAACGGCAGTCATTTTTCGGCATTTTCCTCCCAAGAACTACCTGATTCTACACCTTAAAGACAAGCCATCACAACAGAAACAAAATAAAATCAGAGGGGGTTGGTGGAGACTCAAACGTGAGCAAAGATGGCAAAACACTTAGTAGAGCCAAAAGAATTCTAAAAACTTGTATTGTTTCAATTCTTAAAAAAGAAAAAAAAAAGAGATTATAGGATAACTTGTCAGAAATTTAAACAGCCTGATTTAAAAAACAAAAATTAAAAAAAAAAAAAAAAAACCAAAACCCTGGAAGGCATTAGTATTTCCTGCTATTCTCCAAATTTCCAACTGTAGTTTCAGCTATTCAGTAGCAACTATGCAATCAGGTGACAAGCAATTGTTTTTCTAGGGCACGAACCTGCCCTTTGTCAACATGGCTTACGTGGGAAAATTACCTGAAGGAAGAGTAAGCCTAGCAGGCCTGCACCTGTCACTCACAATGATGTGCTATTTTCCATTCCTCTCCTTCCACTAGCTCAATAAACCGACAAGTCTATGTAGTGGATTCTCATGCCACCAAGCATGTCTACTGGTTGGAAAACATGACAAAATCTACCTGATTGTATCAACTACAGAAATAATGTAGCATCACAGTTACTATTAAAAGTTAAAGATAGCCAGGTGTTGGTGGCACGTGCCTTTAATCGTAGCACTTGGGAGGCTGAGGCAGGCGGATCTCTGTGAGTTGGAGGCCAGCCTGGTCTCCAGAGCGAGTGCCAGGATAGGCTCCAAAGCTACACAGAGAAATCCTGTCTTGAAAAACCAAAAAAGTTAAAGATAAAAAACAATTGATGTCAGTGAAACTGGTCCATGAAAAAAGCTTGAGAAGGTTTTAATGCTAAAAGTCCACACTTTCACCTTCTAGGCAGAGTTTTGCATCATTATCTCCAAAGCACATTTTGATTTTAGAAACAGGAATTATTTTCCAATATAACTGGTCACTAAGACACACCGGGTACTTTTACTAACTACGGCACAAAGCATTTAACCCCACAGTACTGAACACAAATGTCAATGTTCATTATGAGCTGTAAGTCAATCTCAAAGTGGGCAAATATACATTCACAATGGAGAGAGAAGCTAATGAACAAATGTCTAAAAGCTCCCATTGGTTTGGATGTTATAGCTCATAATTTCACTTATTATTTTGGAGTTGGGTTCTCTTGGGTGATCCAGGGTAGTCTCAGATTCATCTGCACCTTAACTCCTGAGTATTGGAATTACATGTGTATGGCACCAGGCTGGTTCTTCTACCTTCTTATTAATCTCAATTACTAGATTTTTAACTAGACCCTGTAATCTATTACATGGTTTCCAGTTATGAGATGAAAGTGGCAGATGTGTCCCAGTACTTTTTTACATGTATGTCTATGTGTGGGCTCAATTCCAACAGTGTGCAAGCAGAGGGTCTGAGGACATCCTATAGTGGGTCCTGAGGATCAAACTCAGGTTGTCAAGCGTAGTGGTAGACACCTTTAGAAGCAACTACCTGTCCTGAATACATGCAGACAATGTTCCAGAAAGCAATACCTTAATTTGCTGCCCAGCAAGCAATAAGCGAAATGGACCAGAATGTGTGGTGCACAGGGCAACTGCTGTCGCCTCCACCACCTCAGACGCTTGATTTGTTTCTAGCTGGTGCTGGCTGAGCAACCTAATCTCTTCATGTGCTCTATGGTGAGGCCTACTATAGTTGTGTCTGCACCAACTTGTAGACTTTTATTCTTGTCATTAGTTTCTAAGCAATACAACCACTTCTTTATATTTTATTAAGTATAAGCTATCTAAAGATTATTAGAATATAGGGGAGAATATGTATAGGTTATATACAAACATTATGCTACTTGAAGTATAGAATGTGAACACCTGTAAAATCAAGATACCCATGTGGCATTCCTGGAACAAATCCCTCAATGATACCAAGAGGAGAACTGCAGTTGAACTTCGCCTGCAAACTTCAAAAATTAAAAAACTATGTAGTACATGAAATCAAGGGGAACATAAACACTGCTTTTCAATCCTTTCAACACTTCTAAAAATATATTTAATTTAATGGTGTTAATGTAGAAATTCATGTCAAATTTCAACATCAGTAAGACATGACCTTCAAGGAATGGACCAGTAAAACTTTTGCATTTTAAAACCAAAGGGACACATCTCAGACACATTATTATAAAACTCGGTTCTAAGCAGGAATGGCTACTGTTTTAACAAATACTGCTCATATCAAAAGTGCTGGTGACAAAGAACTCAGTGTGTCCTCCCACAAAATGTTTGCATACATACCCATCTATCTGTAACTGTAGTAAGATTTTAAACGTTTAAGGTGCTTGATGGTTGACTAGTTCAGGTCAGTTCATCTGCTACTTCTTTGTAGCAATCGATCCAGACTAAAAAGCAGCTATTTCCTAGTGTGTGGCATTTGTGGAGCTGGAGCGCCCTCTACTGGAAAGGAAGATGACACACTCATCAACTGTCCTCCATGTATTTTTTCATTGATTCGAAGTTCACATCCATCCTGAAGCATACGAACTGCTATTCTAGCAATATTCTTAGAGTCATCAAGACCACTGTGAGGCCGCCCATCATAATCCATTCCTAATTTTTCCAGCATTATTGTCAATTTGGTTTGGCTTCTAGGAACCTGGAAAATAAACAGCTTAGTAAGTACTTTAGGTACTTTCAACAGTTCAATTGAAAAACAAGAAACAAAACAGCCAGCACCCCACTCTACTTCTCCCAGAGAAAAGCAATTTCACAAAGGCACAAGCTAAAAGCTTCAAGATAGCAATTATGAATATGCTCAAGGACCGTAATAAAGATATGAATAAATGCCTGAATGAAGACCAGGGAAACACAAAACAGTTGAATGAAATAATAAAAACAATTCAAGGCATGAAAATAGAAACTAAAAGAGAAACAGAATCATTAAAGTCAAACTGCCAGGTATGGTGGAACATGTCTTTAATCCCAACACCTAGGAGACAAAGGTAGGTGGTTCTATCTTTGTGAGTCTGAGGCCAGCCCTTGTCGACACAGTAGGTTCCTGGACAGCCAGAGCTATATAGTAAGATCCTGATTCTAAAGGAACAAAAGGAAAAACAAAACAAAACAAACAAAAAACAAACTCAAAATGAAATCTCAGTATGTCAAAATAAAAAAACTCAGAGGAAAACTGAGGTGGAAGAGAGAATTTCAGGTCATGAAGACACAGTAAAGGAAAAGGAAATGATGAAATCTTAAAAAAAAAAAAAAAAAAAATCCCCCCAAAACTACCAAAACCAAACCAAACCAAACCAACACACACAAAAACAAAAAACCTCAGGCACAAAATATCCCAGAAATCTGGGATGGGAGACTATGAGAAGACCAAACCTATAAATAACAGGTACAAAAGAAGAAGAAACCAGGGTCAATCAAAGGCACAGAAAACATTTTTTAACAAAATCATAAAAGAAAAACCAAAGTCTAAAAAAAGGGATTCCCATCAAGGTTCAAGGGGCACACAGAACACCAAATACATAGGCCCAGAAAAGAAAGTCCCCATGGCACTTTAATAATCAAAACACTTATATGTACACAACAAAGACAGGATATTAAAAGAAAAGAGAACAGGGCACATACAATAGTGGACCACTAGAATAACACCTGACTTCTCAATGGAGATAAGCACAAGTACAAGCACTGAAAGACCACAGGCACCAGCAGACCACCACACCCAGCTAAACCAATCATAATCACAGAAGAAAAACATTCTGTGGACACCAGTACACAGGCATGGGCCGGCATGCCTTCTGCTAGAGAGCTGGATGTCCAATGTCCAGTTGTAACTTTAAGGTATTGACCAGTGGAGAACATATTAAAAATGGGTGACGATGTTGAGGAGGTGTGCCCACAATGTGAAACAGGGAGGCAAGCTAAGACTGCATCATCTCTCAATCGTCTGGGTGGAAGACAGTTTAGACCTCTGGATCCTCTTACCCCAGTGTCAGCAAGAACGGCATCACCCAGAGAAGAGGAATACTATCACTGCTTCTCCTGTCTCACTCAGCCACCATCAGAAAAGTCCCTTATAACAGCAGATGGGAATTAGCAGAGACCCACAACTGGACAGTGTGCAGAGCACACAGCCCTAAGTGGGATGTCTCCATCAAACCCCTCCCTCAGGACTATGGGAGCTAAATGGAAGAGGTGAAGGAGCCAGAGGTAAAAGATTACTCAGTGTCCCTGCTAACAGAAACTTCTGGCCAGCCTGGGGTGGTGGCACAGGCTTGCTATCTTAGCACTCTGCAGGAGCAGGCAAGAGTTCTAGCTCAGCACAATCTACATATTGAGCCCCTGCCCCCATATTAATACAAGAGAGCAGGAGAGAGAGGTCCACCATCACAGGCCACAAGCATCCAACAATGACTTGAGTATAAAGATGAGGGTGGGAAGGACATTTGTGGATAGGGGTGTTAATAGAGCTGAAATATCCTTCACTGTAGGAATTCAACAGGCACATCACAAGGAAAATTCAAAATACAGCATAAACATAAACATGGGATTGAAAAAGTACAAAGATAAATACATGAAGAAACAGCTTTTTAACGTTAAAAAAAATTTTGTTTTAGAATAAGAACCAGTTCTGAAAAGGACCATGACAGGAAATGTTCTCTAAGTCAGTGGTTCTCAACCTTCCTAATGCTGCAATACAGTTCAATACACCTTGAATACAGTTCCTGGTGTTGTGGTGAACAACCTCCCCTCCCAACCTACAAAACTATTTCATTGCTACTTTATGACTGCAATTTTGCTACTGTTATGAATTGTAATGTAAATATAGGTTGGGAACCATGCTGTAAGTCTTATAGTGCTTGCCCAGCAAACAAGAGGCCTTGTACCACACAACACTAAAAATGAAATAAAGTCCTGTTTCATTTGTTCCACAAGCAATCCATATATGAATCTCCGCCTGTTACGGTAATGCATTAAATGAGAATAAAGAGCAGGGAGAGGAGGTGTAGCTCTAATTTAAAACAACTGAGATTCTAAAAAGTAACTATTAGATGTTTTTTTTTTTTCTGTGAAAAATACCTTTCAAAAAAACTACAGGGGACTGGGAAGTGGTGGCCCACACCTTTAATCACAGCACTCAGGAGGCAGTCAGGAGTTTGAGGCCAGCCTGTGTACTGAGCAAGTTCCAAGACAGCCTCCAAAAGCTACAGAGAAACCCTGTTTGGAAAAACCAAAAAGAAAAATCAAAAAAACCTACAGGAGATAGAGAGATGGCTCAGCTGTCAGAGCACTTGTTACTCTTGCAAGGCACCCAGGTTAGGCTCCCAGCATCCACAAGATGGTTCACAACCATCCATAACGCCAGTTCCAGTGGATCTGACTCCATCTTCTCTTCCATGGGCAGGAGGCGTGCATGTTGTGTATATACACACATGCAGGTAAAATGCTCATAACACGCACACACGATCTTTAAAAACGTAAAAAAATTCTAATATACAAAATCACAGCTGAAGAAAGGGGCTGGGAGAGGGGGCCAGTGGGGGGCAGGAGAGGAGGGGAGAGAGAGGGAACTGAGATTGACATGTAAAAGAAGCTTGTTTCTAATTTAAAGGAAAAAAAAAGAAAATCACAGCTGAATATATATGTTAGAATAAACATGATCAAGGACATAGCTAATATAAGAAGTAAAATTTTTACCTTATAAAAGTTTCCGTATGACTTTCGAATATTGATCCACTTTTTAGCAAAAGGGGGGTATTTGAGCCTGCTGAGCTGGCACTGGATGTTCAAGAACTTACTCATATCCCAGGAGCTTATATAAAGAGAAAAAGGGTATAAGGTAAATGCTACAAAAAGCTGTTCTGTGTTCTACTTATGTTGACCTCATATTCACATAAAATACTAAGCTTAGAAAATTAACCTTGATTCCCAGAAAGTACTTTTCGGCTTTAAAAAGAAAAAAAAAAAGGAGTATTTTCTTCACAGACTAATTCTTGCTAGGTTCATCTTGATTGCTTTTGTGGTTCTGATTTCAGGTCAAACTTCCACCTTGCTGAGTTCTTCTGTGTAACTGCCAAGCTTGCATGTTACACCAAATTTACCATTTTTCGTTAAGTTCTCTAATAGTACGCCTTAACATAAAACATGTAAGCAACTAACTTAAAGACAAACTGTAGGGGTTAAAATACAATCTGGCCTGCTATTTCTCTGCTGTGCTTACTGCGGGGCTGTGCTTACTGCCCACTCCTTAGTCCCAGTACTGTAGAGGCTGCAGCACACAGACAAGCCAGAACTAGAGTGAGACCTTGTCACAAAACCAAACCAGGTGAGTACTGAGTATGCAATGTGAAAATCAGTTGATTTGAATGTGGCTTTTCATAGACACAGTCAAAACCAGCAGTAATGAGACCCTTCAGTGGAAACTTTACAACCCCTCAATTCAGCTGTTATAAAATTAAAAACTACATACCCTAGGGTCCTACTGCTTCTGTGCACTTTAACAGCCCTCACCGACCCTCACAATTCTAAGCCTGAGCTGCCTAATTGTTTCTGGGGGCATCAATGACTCTTTTTGCTACTGCTCTAATTAAAAACCAAAACCAAAAAAATCATACTTATTTTGAATGATCTATCCCAGATTTGAAGTTGTATATGAAGATCCCTAAGCCTTCTATGTCAGCAACATCCTGACATAGAAGCACACACCACCACCATGGCATAAACTAGACCAGAACCTCTTTAGGGTTTTGTTTTCACCTTTAATGGCACTGTAGTACAGTGTCCTTGGGACAATGTAATACTTTCAACCCTTCAGACATTCCTATGTAGTTCTTTTTTTTCCTTTTCCTGTTCTGTTTGGAAAAGAGGTGCAAGTAGGTTTTTGAGATAGGGTCTCAAAATACAGCCGAAGCTTCCCTCAGATTCATTGTGTAGGCTGACCCTGAATTCCTGATCCTCCTGCCTCCAACTCTCAAGTGAGGGGATTACAGGAGTGCCCCCACATCCAGCTCTCATTTCCCTTTCCATTTAACAGATAACTCTGAATTAGGCACTACAGGAAGTGTTATGGAAGACTACAGGGTAATAAAAGGACATGCTCTGAAAGGACCTCCAACTTCCTAAGAAAGTGTCAGATAGAATAGTTGACACTGTAATGACTGAAGACTTTCACAATGTGAGTTAGTACCAGGGTAAAGTAGAAAAAGTGGTAAGAAAGACACTCCCAGAAGGAAGAAAAACATGAAGTGAAAAGGTAAATCCTGCGAATGAATGGGCAGCCTGATAACAGTGGGTGAAACAGGCATAGGGGTGTGTGTGTGTGTGTGTGTGTGTGTGCGTGTGCGTGTGCGTGTGCGTGTGTGTGTACACGCCCGTCAGGCTGAAGACCTCTGAGCAGGCAAACATCATGATGGTACAGGGATCCAGACAAGCTGTGTCAGCATCCTGTAGGGTATGTATCATCCTGGGTCCCTAGTCACAGACTTGATGTGATGGTGGCTTTCCCTTCTTCCTTCCATCCTGAGAACTCAAACTAGGAAAAGACCATGAAAAGAAAAAAACACTCTTTCTTGTGGAGTGACTCCTGGGGACTTTTAATAAGTAACACTCTGTGGACACCTACATATTCAATGAATGAGAGCCTCTTTACTGTTGAAAAGGATTACAGTACTTAACTACTTACCCATCTGTTAATATGCAGTATTTGTACTTAGTTCCTAATTCCTTTGACTTCATCCACTCAATTACCTTTCTCAGGACCTGAGGGAAAGCATCGGCTCTGTCTACCTGATCCTGAAGACATAAAAGGAGAATGAGGTCAGGGCAACTACTGTTTGTAGCCCTACAACACACCTAGGCATAAACTGGAGAGAAACAAATAGTACACAAACTGTTAAACTCTGTGATTTCAATGACTCAGATCTACTTACCACCTAAATGTTCACTTGAGATAAGACTGCTTTTAAGTAAGTACATAATTCTTCCAAAATTAAGATTTAAGATTGTCCTGGTTTTGCCAACCGACACAGGTGATCTAAAGTCACTGGGAAGAGTAAACAGGACTGCTGATCAACTTGGCTTGTGAGCGGCCTGTGGGGGGGGGGACGGGACTTCCTCAACTGCTGATGCAGGAGGGCCAAACCCACTGTGGGCAGAACCATCCCTAGGCAGGTGACAAGGATCCTGGCTGTAGAAGAAAGCCAGGTGAACATGAACCAGAGAGTGAGCTAGGGAGTGAGGCAGCAAACAAAATCTCTCCACTGTCTGCTTCTGATTCTGCCCTGACTTCCCCCTAGTGTGATATGAAAGTGTAAGCTGAAATAAACAATTTCCTCCCAAGTAGCTCTGGTTTTCTCTATTACAGCAGTAGAAAGCCAACTAGAACAAAGATCAGCCCCAGTGGCTCTCTGTGATTAACGGATTATTTAGACAACAGGGAAATCTTCCTCTAAGCCACAGTCTCTAAGCATTCTATCCCAAATCTCATGCTTCTCCACACTTTACTACACCACAGTATATGGCACATCACTTGGCAATGCCATGAGGCTGGACTTTCTAAAATGTCAACATGATGCATTCAGAATTATGGGACCCTCTATGATTTGCTTGCATCTACCCAGCTCACACATATTCTCAAGAACACATCTGAGCCATCTGGAACTACACTGAATTCTGTCACAGCAGAACTAAATGCCTATAACTCCCAGTCCTTCTTTTCTGCTCATTTACTTACCATGATTCAGCTCAATTTCACCAACATGAAGACCTGTCTCAGGGCAGCCCTTCCTTGCAACACAGATATAAGCCTCCTGTATAGACATCTACACAACCTAATAAAATACTCTTCCTGGCCAAACTATAACTACTGGCTTATTCTGTCTGATCTCATGTTTACAGATTTGCAATATATAGTCGGCATTGAACTATTTGTAGAGAGTGAAGACTATTGAAAGTTCCAAATAAATTAAAAAAGGCCTACACAATAAAACATAAATAAAAAGCAGAGATGAACCACCCAGGGTACAGTCAAGATTGTAAACAAACATGTTCTAAATCCTATCTGTGAGTGTAGCACAGTGACACTTATCTTCCCAAAGCTCCATTTTACAACTGAGATCTTGGTTGCATCATTACAACTCCAGGGGTGGGGAGAAGTAGGGAGTAGCAAAAATGACATCAAGTGTAGAGCTGGCTCTTTGACTTTGCTGGTCTTCAATGTCTGTGCTCAAGAAAGCATCTAGCCTCAGAATTGCATGCCCTACTCCCTTAGCATGTGAGACCATAGCACACACCACTGCACCAGCTCTAAGGCCTTTTGTCTATTTAACTTATTATTTTTTCTTTTCTGGGGGGGGGGGGGGTCAAAACAGGGTTTTTTTTTGGTTTTGGGGTGGGTCCCAAGTGCTGGGACTAAAGGCGTGTGCCACCACATTTTACGTAAATGGGTATTTTGCCTTCATGTGTACCATGCGCACATTCAGTAGCTATGGAGGCCAGAAGAGGGCACTGATCCTGAAGTTGCAGACAGTTGTGAGCCACTATCTGAGTACCAGGAATCAAACCCATGTCCTGTGAAAGAACAGCCAATGCTCGTAACTGCTGAACCATCTCCACAAACCATCTCTGTTGTTATTTTAATTATAGTATGAAGGAAAACAGCACATAAAATTGCTTGTAACGATTTTTATAAACTATTCACAAAATAAATCACTGATTTAAAATTTTCTGTCAAATTTAAGATAACACCACCCACCACCAAAACCAATAGGAATTAAGGGAGCATTATCACCTGAGTAATTCCAGTAAGACTGACGCAGAAATCTGACAGCTGCGAGTTAACCTCTGGCCTCACATACTGCTGAAACGTGTCTTCCTGCAGGGAGAGACACAAGGGAAAGCGCTTTAGGTGACTACATGACACACACAGAACAAAGCTGGCCACAGCAGAATTACACAACTACTCATGACAGATCATTTCAGAGATCCCAAGGAGAAGTCTCCGACAAAAGCCCCAATATTTAAATGTAAAAACAGTTTATTTTGGTTTTTAAAAACATCATGTCAATGGGTGTCTGAAAGCAAACCTTCAAAGTTGTGGTAAATATTTTCGTGGCATGTAAAATGTTGGTCATTTTGTTTGTACTATGTTAAGAAAATTAAGCCTATTAAGCTGCTCCTTTACAATAATGGGTTTTACAAGTCTTCTGAAGAAATGAGGCCTCAGTCGTAGGAAATCACTTGAAACTGAATAATAAATACATGGATTTAATAATAAATTTATACATATGAACAGAAGACAATCAAGGGTAAGAGAAGGCTAGATCACACACGGAATGTTTTTTATTTAAAGTTAAATCAGGATCACAGCAATGTTTTGAAAGGATTTCTTGGGCCACTATGTTGAAAACTGGCTGATAACAAGGATAGAAACACAGACCTACTGATGAGGAATTGCCCAGAAGCTCACAGGCCATCGAGTAGTTGCAGGTAGGCAAGAGAATTAAGAAAGCCTATCTAAACAAAAGTGGAAGGGGAGAACCAAGTCCCCAAAATTGTCCATGACATGCACTCATACGTACACACAAGTGCATGCACGCCTTTGTAAATTTTTTAAAGAGAATATACAGCTTAAACTTGATTGAGTGAAGTGGGTATAAGAGATGAAGAAAAGAAAGCAAATGATGAGAAATGGGCATAACTTATTTGAAGGGTTGTTCCATAAAGAAGAGGGGTAGCCAGCAGTACAGTGGAGTAAAATGAGGATGTGCATGGGATAAGAACACATCAGAAAGCAATGCCCCTAATGTCTAATTGCTAAATTAAGTGTCCTGAACTGAGAGAAGACATGAGACCATCTGAGTTATCCAAGGTATCTCCTTCACGGCTGTCATTTTCCTTTTGATCATTCACCTGTTTTGGAGAAGGCAGTTTTAAAAGCAGGCTGGATTATGCAGGTGGCACAAATAGTAAGAGACCCTCTTCACAAGGTGTGAGGACAGAACTCCCTAAATCTGTCTTCTGACACCCACTATTAAGGGGAATGGAGAGAAGAACGTAACTAAAAGAGGTGTTGAACAGAAAAACTGTGCATTACTGTGTACAAGGCCTTTCTGGACTTAAGTGACTAGTCTCCTTCATCACATTTTATAACGTAAAAAGTATTATTTTGAGGAGTTCATTCTATCATGTACTGAACTAACACTGCAGTGCCAATAATTACCTAGGGCATATGCAAGTATGGCTTGGGAATTAAGGTTCAGCTGCCCTGCCCAATTCCATTAGCAATTACTTCTAGAGACTATCCTCCACCCTCACTGAACATCAAAACTGCCTAAGGTGCTTTAAAAAAAATAAGTTGATGCCAAGGGCCCTCCACAGAACTAGATTCTTGTCTCTGGGACCAGGGCTAGGCACCAGGGTAGATTTTTCTGTTTTATTTGTCACTTCCCTAGAGACTTCCATCTACTCAGATGTTCTAAGAAACAGAAAAAGTGCCACAAGTTCAGCTCATGGAGAAGAGCAGTTCCTGGAATTGCTTCATTATGATTTTTCTATTAATCATGCCGATAGGGAGCTCACAGCAATATGCAAAGATCCCCTTCTGAAATTCTATTTCCAGCTAAAATGGCAAATAAGCTTCCAGCTTGCTAGTCAACACCAGAATAGTTGCTACGAAAAATAAGATGAAAATGCAACAATTCACTTACTATTTCTAAGGTGTGCGTATTCAACAGAACAACAGGAAACTCAATGATTTCATGAATAAATTCAGCTGGGTTTCCCTCTTCACAAGTAGCTTCAAAGTCAATAATACAAATATAGTCATAGTAACTGTCCACACAACTGCTTTCTTTCAACATCAACTTCTGCTTCTTGTAGTAGTTTTTCAATCTCTTCTTTAGGACATCCTTGACCCCTCTAAAAAATACAAGATTACGTAAACATTTCAGTCAAGGATCATAAGTCCTATCTGCTGGCAATGGGTTGAACAGTCGCAGTCACAGCATAACTAACAAAAGAGAGCTAAAACAAATGGAAGGAAAGAAAAACTCAAAGCTGTTAGCAAAGAACTAATGAAAATAAAATGCTTAACACGACAAATTTTCCTTCACAAGAGATGTCTTGCTTTCATTGTATCTAGTATTTCAAGCCATAACTTTGCACACACACATAACATTGCCCTCTATGTTAAGACATATATGATATGAAAACTGAAGATAACAAGACAAATGTAATGTTGAGTGAGAAAATGCAGACAAACTGAACACATTATACTGTATTCTGGCATTCATAGGTCAGACAACTAAACAAACAAAAATTCTTTTTTTTTTTTTCCTTTGAGACAGGATTTCTCTGTATTGCTTGGGAGCCTGTCCTGGAACTCATTTGTAGACCAGGCTGGCTTCGAACTCACAGAGATCCACCTGCCTCCCAAGTGCTGGGATTAAAGGCGTGTGCCATTAACACCCAGCCTCAAACAAAAATTCTTAAGGGTATGAAAGTATTACAGCCCTAAAGTTGAATGTCTTATAGCTACTTCAGAAATAATTTAGGGTCCACCATCCTAGAGCACACTTTGACGATACTTAGTTTGACTAAAAGTAGGTTGTTCAACTTCTTGGTCACACTGCCATCAGAGACTTAAAAGTAGCATATTTTAAGCCTTTTATTTTCCTTTCTAAACTACCACTGAGCAAGTAAGATTATTTCAGTGTTTTCTTTTTTTCTGAGATAGGGTCCTACTATGTAACCCTGGTTGTCCCGGGACTCCTATAGACCAGACTGGCCTTGAACTTGGAGCTATCTGCCTCTGCCTCCCAGTTACTAGAATTAAAGGCATATACCACCATGTCCAGTGTTTTGTGTTTTCTTTATACATTTTCATAACCTAGAAAAGTCTCTCAACCCTTTTCATATAAGATACTGAATGACCCGTGAGATGTGACTACTTTAAATTACTTTTTATTTTCTTTTCTCTCATTTTATTTATTGATTGTTTCTTTGAAATGGCACTGCAAATCTGATGGTGGTACAAACATAAAGCTCCTCCTCTTCCTCTGACCACAACCTGAGCCAGGCTGTGGTTAATCCTCTCTACTACGGCTTCCCTTTGTTTCCTGACTATAGCAGAGGCTGCAGTGATCACAGCCTGTAGCACACTGATTCACCTCACTCACAAATTGACCACTAATTTCCCTTGTAAGTTATCTTCAGTGGCTTCCTCTTGTCACAAGATAAAAAAGGCTTCAGCATAGGGTTCCTTCACTTTGCCTCAGTTACCTTTTCAGTATCACTATCAAATCTTCTTTCTTCCCACAGCATGCTGCTAAAACATAAGCTGTGAATAAAGCACACTGTGTGCTGTAGCCTGAATATACAGCATGTTTTTAATTCCTTAAGTTTGAATGTACAATAAAGACAAGAATATATGACTGAAAACACACAGACAGAAATTACAAGGTTTTCTGTTTTAATTTCTTTTTGCCTGAACTATGCTTCTTCACTTTCCTATTTGGCACAATTTAACTGTCACATTTCTGAATTCCTGGGGCATACTGTTTAGACCCTCAGCTGCACTGCAATATTCAGACCTCCAATGCCACCCCGACTACTCTAATTGTGACATTTCTGTATTGTCACAAGACTGAGATTTGCCGAGTCAATGTCTAGTGTAGTGCTTAGAGTTCAATACAGGCTTGTTGAATAAAATGTGTAAACATACATCTAGACCTCTAGCTCCCATAAAGCCAGGAGTAAGCAACTGATCTTCATGCCTGTGAAGAACAAAAATGTTTCTCAGACAATCTTCTGGAGGCCACAGGTTGTATTTAATAACAGAAAGTCAAGAGAAAATGAAATAAAAACTTTCCTTACAAATTATGCTACAGACAACCTAAGAGGGAGAACAGGTAGATGCTCTTTTGAAAAGCACCAAGGAGCCAGGCGGTGGTGGCACACACCTTTAATCCCTCAGGAGGCAGAGGCAGGCAGATCTCTGTGAGTTCAAGACCAGCGTGGTCTACAAGAGCTAGTTCCAGGACAGGCTCCAAAGCCACAAAGAAACCTTGTCTCAAAAAACCTCTCCCCCAAAAAAGAAAAAAAAAAGAAAGAAAGAAAGAAAGAAAGAAAGGAAGAAAAGCACCAGGGTTCCATCTGAACATCAGTGCAGACAGTCCACTTAGAAGGAATGAGAATCCTGACTGCCCGGGAACAATGTTTTCAACTATTATATATAGTCAGGTTTTTGTTTTTCTTTCTTTTTTTTCTTGGTATCAAGCCAGAATGCCATATACCCCAAACTTTAAAAAAAAAAAAAAAGTGTGTGTGTGTGTGTGTGTGTGTGTGTAGGGGGTAGGGTTAGAAAATAGTTCTGAAAATATATGTGTCTATTTCTCGGAACACAGAAGGGTTCACTAAGCTATACTTTCTCATGCAATACAGTTAAATGTAATGGATACTTTCAGTTACTTTAGAAACTAAAGCAAAGTGACTGAATGTAGGTGAATGATTTCTACTTAATTCCAGACAAACCTCTGTCATAAAAAAATAGAAGTAACTAAATAAAAACATCCATAAACATCCATTTATGTCAACTAAATGAGCAACTATTAAGCAAAATTTTAAAGACCGGTATGGTGAAACAAGCCTATAACCCAGCACCTAAGAGGCAGAGGCAGGACTGTGTGCTCAAGGGCAGTTCAGACTAGACAAGACCGTGTCAAAAGTGAAATTAAGGAAACACACTTGCTACAATACTACACATCTGTACATCAATGGGGCATTTCTAAAACATTCACACACTGTGATTTGGAAACCTCTGTTTATGCCATCTAAAGAAGAGCAATAAAAAGTTAGATGGCAAGACTCACAATAAAGACTAAAAATTTTGGTTGTGATTTGAATTATCTCACAGGAGGAATTTTTTTTTTTAATATTCCCAAGATTTTCTAAAAGGAACAGGTACCACTTCTGTAACTGGTTTTTAAAAATTAAATAAAGTATATTAGCCATTTTACATATCAGATTAAAGTTAGTTTTAATTACCTTGTTTCAAGCTTAAATTCGGAAAGTTTGGCTCTGAGTTCCTCTTTACTCATTCTATTAATGCAACCATTTGTCATTGCAATCTCTTTGTACACTGGGTCACTGAAGTCACTTCCATTGGAGGTAATGAGTTTAGATCCATCTGTTTCTTTGCCATCAAGTCTACATCGCTGCTTTTTCTACAAAAAAAAAAAAAAAAAAAAAGGGTCGGGGAGTGATTTATAATTAGTACAAATATATTTTTAAAGATTCAAACTCGCAAGGGTTCTCTATGCTATGTGTTCAATGAAGGGTTCCTCTTGGCACCACCAGTGGAGGAGGGCAAGGAGATGAAAGACATGTTTCCAATATAATTGGCCTTGCTCTAGTAGTCTGAGTCATGAGATTCCTCAGAGGCAATGAAGCTAAGTAAAAAGAGGACAAATTAAATTAGAGTCAGAGCCATGATGGTCTGGAGCCCCAGCTGGCCATTTGTACAGCAGCTTAGCCTTGGGCAGTTAATAGCCACTGATCTGCAGTTTCTTCATCTATACAAACATACTTGTCCTAGATAGTATTTGGTAATGGCAAACAGTATTTAGGTAGCATTTATTCTAAGTATGAGATTGTGTATATAGTAGGCTAACTACTAATAAACATAATTTTACTTATGATCATCAGAGTGTAAACAAGCCCTTTCACAAACAATATCCAGAAACTTAGAAATAAGCCAAGTTTAAGTGACCTTTTACATCACTGTGTATGCATGAATCAGCACTTTTTAAGCCTGCTTTATTTCACAAAGTTAACAGAACCTGCCCTAAACGAACAGAAAACAGACTTCCAGGCGGGTACTAAAATGTCCTAGGACTTACAGCATACAAATGCATTCTGTTCCAAAGCTCACAAGTTAAGTCACACACTTAGCAGTTATTCAGATCTGCAGTGGTGCCTTTCTGTCAAATGATTCCATTCTATTTTCTCCATGGGTAGACCTAAACCACAAACGCACTAACTTGTAAAGTTAATTATGTTCTACACGAAATACTACAAATATAAACTGTTTTCAGCACTGTCAAAAACTGTGTCTTTACTATTAACAGGTTAGTATCTATTTACTTGGTCATAATGCAGTCCCTAACTTTAAATCTGATCTTGATGGATCAAGGTTTACCTCCCACTGTCAGCTTTCAACTCAATGCGGCAAGCTTACTAGTAGTGTACTGCTAGGTGCTATGTCTAGAGTACTCACTTGCCATTGCTTTGAGAAAAGGGCCAGCAATTTCAATGCCTAAATCATTTAGAGTGGGAAGAACTTTATCAAAAATACACATTACAAAAACAAAGCCCTTACTTTGTAAATTAGTATGTGCTTATACAAGTGTTTTTTTAAAATTCCACTGCACTTTGACCAAGAAAATAATTAGCTTTCAGAAATATTTAAATTTCTCCTTAGATATTATCAGGATAGTTTATTCTTTATATTTAAACTTACAAAGAATTTTAAGTTCTATCTTTTTACAGGTTACAAAACTGTCGACACTAAAGAACATTGTAACCAAAATAGATGTCTTAGTTAATTTATACAAATTCTCTTCTTTCAATAAATCTATTCTGATACACTTGAAGAATTCTTACATAGCTTTGAAAATTTACCTCTTCTAGACACATAACCTCTTCTAGACATACAAATTGTAATTTCTATAAAGATTTATTTGTTTATTGGCTATCAAGACCAATTCCATCCTTAATTTTGTGAAAATTGGTTCCTCCTAAATTTCAGGCCAGCAGGACAAGTTCTCAAAAAAAAAAAAGAAAGAAAAAAGGTGTTTAAATTAACCTATAAAAGAACAGAAAGAAATATCCAAAACCCCATATACACAAATTATCTGCAAATACGAATTCATTTACTAAATAAATGCCTAAGATTAGCATGACCATCCACTCCAGTCCTAGATCCATCTGTCATGTCACTGGCCAGAGAAGAAACCTGGAGATGAATTCACAACATGGAAAGAAATACTGGCTCATTTATACAGAGCTGTGACATTCTGGAATCTTCATGTACCCAATTAAGTATATGTATGGTTTATATTATCACAAATAAGACCTCCTTTTACATTACAGGAAATGATCATGAACTTCTACATTAGTACTTTAATGTGGAACTAAAGTGTGGAACTTAATGATGGATTGCATACTTTCCAGAATAAAAATATGAGTACCTCAAAAAAAAAAAAAAAAAAAAAAAAAAAGCTGTTCTTTTTCTATTGAGAAGGGGGGTTCTACCTTGATCTTTGAAAGCCTTTTTTTTTTTTTTTAATGAACACAACCTGTTTCTAAGGTGAGATTTTTATAAAGTAACTACTTCTAAATAAAACAGGTTCCCACAATCTTGTTGCCAAAATTATGCACTACCTACTACAAAAGAAAAGCTATTGCATCTGCACACTGAAACAAAAATGTTCAAACATTAAAATGTTTCCTGCTGGTATACATCAACCACCAAACCTAAGAGTCAATGAAAATTTACTAGGAAAATCTCAAAGACAACAAGCAGCTTTGTGTGGCTAAAATCGAGGAAAATATATACATTCATTTATTAAAAGCACTTAATGGTGAGGTTTTAAAATCAATCTGAACACAGACCCAGACCACAAACAAGTTTCAAAGACAATGAAGTATATTCGAGTTCTTTTATGAAAGAATCCTTGCAAATTAGCTTTAAAACTGACTTAGATGATGTTATTGACAACATGTATTAGGACGAAAGGGGCATGTTTGCAGAGAGGGTGAATGGAAGCTTCTTCAGCCTTCCAAAATATCAACATGACAAGGGCAGTAAGACAACACTGTAAAGATCCGGAGGAAGAGTGGTCAGGACAAGGGGGTACACAAGACGTTTAATGAAGAAAATCCTCCACTACAGAAAAACACAGGGAAGCCAGAGGGGACAGCAAAGAAAAGATATGCACTACCCAATGGGCCAAGGTAGCCAGGGGCAAACTGAAGGCACGGAATGAGGGGAGTAAACTAGATACATTCAGATTGTTAAAAGATCACTCGAGCAATTTCTGCTCTTTCAAGAGGGCAGGAGTTCGGTCCCAAGGACCCATATCTATCGTCCTACTTCTGGTCTTTAAGGGCATCTGCACACACGTGGCATCCATTAAACATATATAAATTAAATACTAACATTCTAAAGGCTATTCTGGTTACTACACGAAGGTGTAAATGGAAAGAACAAGGGCACTAGGAAGCCTCTTCTGAACACGCACTTTGTGACATTTTGGTTTTGAGCCAACACTTTCACTTTCATCTCTCTAGTCCCGCGAAAATCCTGGGTTTCTAGTGCTCAGCTCCTACGACGAAAAAGCGATGGACTTCTAGCATCTCTGTCACATCGCAGCGTTAGCTAACATTATCTCATCAAGATGAATAAACAAGTCTGGAGATCCAGCCGTCTGACAATCTTGCCGCCGTCACGAGGGTGGACCGTGTGGGGGGTTCCAAATTTCTCAGAAAGCCGAGGTTAAGAGGCTGCTCTTCCAGAGTACCCAGGTTCAATTCCCAGCACCCATATGACAGCTCACAACTGTCCGTAACTCAGGTTTCAGGGGATCTGACACCTTCTATACCAATGCAAATAGAATAAAGTTAAATAAATCGTTAAAAAAAAGAAAGCCGGCTATGACTGGTTTCTCTGAGTGTGGGAACGGAGGAAGACCAGGGGAGGGTCCCCTCGGGAACGGATGCAGATGGCTGTGGGGTCGTCCGGGGCTGGGGAGGCACAGGCTGCGGGAGCACCCCAAGCGCCTAGGATCCTCAGCCCAGGGATGGGGGTGCGCCGGAGACAGCTCAGCCAATCAGCGCCGCGGGGCCGATGGAGCGGCAGTGCGCCCGCGCGCGCCGAATGTTTACGCAAAATTCTCACTCGGAACTTCCCGCCCGACCTCCTCCCTC